AAAAATAACTATCCAATAAAATATAAATATAAAATTAACCAATAAAATATAATAGAATATTATCCAATTAAATTTATTATATGAATTAACCAATAAAATAAGAACTAAATATTCATATCATAACAATACAAAAATATTTGCATTTTTATAAAATAGAATAATTTTTCACATAAATTTTCAATTTGATACTAAAATTTATTTTTTATATTTATATATATATATTTTGAACTAGTTATTAAAATTACTTGAAATTTTGATATAATATATAATATATTTTAATAATTTTATTAGTTTAAAATTATAAATTTTATTTTTTTTATTAGTTTTTGCATTTTGTATTTTAAAAAAAATTCACAATATTTTGAGAGATCACTATATAAATATTTATAATATATTTTAATCATTAATATATTGTATAATTTTTTTAGTTTTAATTAATATATTGACTTATCTTTTTATGCTATAAACAAGATTTATGGCAAGATTAATAGATAAATAATTCTATTCTATTGCTAATTATATCTTTAATCTGATAAAAGTTATAATTTTTTTATAATATTAATTTTTATTATTTTTTAAATATTTTCAATCAAATTTTGATCAGATGACATTGATAATTAAGAAAGAATTTCAATGTCATTTTTCTTTTTTCAATAACTTATCAATTTTAAATAATATTTTGAATTATTATTCTTTTGCAAAATTCATTCTTTAGAATCATTCTCAAAAAGATATTTGATGTATGATAGAAAATCACACTTATATATTGTAACTATAAATTCAATATTGAAATTCTGCTAAAAATAAACTAACTTACCAAAGCTTGAAGTAAAAAAACAATTTTATATATTAATTTTTAATAGAGGCTTTGTCCATTCTAATTATTTTTCTTTATAAATATTAGTAAATAGTGATTTAAAAGTTTTGTTATATATTTGTCTCTATCTTTATATAAATATCATTGAATAATTTTTAAATTAATATTTATATTTTATTTTTTTATTTCCTGTTATATATTAATAATAGTTATATCAGTTTGCTTTTGTATAAGCTTTATAATTTTTTTATTTTATTTCAGAATTGTGAATTTCTGCAAGCTTTCTGTTCATCACTTAGATTCTTCATTTTCTACCATTTTTTGATTCAACAAGTCACAGTGAGCTTACTATATTTAACATATTTAGTTGTAGCTTCAAGTTCAAGTTTTAAATCTTTGAAATATGTATGTAAAAAAAATGATTTGAATTGGAATTGATATTATTTATGTGTAGAAGTTTGGTGAACATAGAATGGTTGATTTAGAAGTTTATCAGTTTATAAAAAATGTCAATGATCAGTATTTGCATTATTCTTTATTCTCGAAAAATACTGGTATATTACATATGATTTATGAAAAGTTAAGAGGAATATGTTACTTTTGACAAGTACTATATTGCTAATTTAGCTATGATCCATGTGCTATTTTTGCTAGAATTATTAAGCTAACTTTGCTATGATCACATTGCCTGTCTTATCATCTAATATTAATAAATAAGATCTTTTCTAGCTAGTGTTCAATAAGATATTGATAAATATTATCCAATAATATTATGATATGAATTGTCACGAGATAGGATAGCAACATCATGTATTACAATCAGCGCCAGCTCTTTTATCAATAAAGAAATGAACCATTACGCATGATTATACATGACAATATTTTTTGCGGGGTAGTGGGGAATTATCGTTATGTACTAACGATGATTACAAGCGATCATCGTCTATTTCTTTTCAGCTAAGAGACCGGCCGAACATTCTACGAAGTGGAATTCGAGATTATGTCTTCGGAACACTCTAAAGTATAAAAACCGCCTGGTAAAACTAAGTAAGTAACGTTTTCGCTTATCCGTTTTGATATTTTTTACCTATCTCTCCGAAAAAATACTTTCTCACCTAAAAACGTCATTATGAATCATTCTCATATAATATCCCTCGCAATGAATTTTTTAAACTAGATTTCTCTGGGATCTATTGCTAGTGGCATCAACATTCCGAAACTAATACCATGCGCATTATGCGGAAAACAAATTCTGGAGGACCAGCTAAAATCGTTTATAATGTTAGATTGTTACCATATATTCCATAGATTTTGCATCGATAATTGTCCACAAAGTCAACATGTCCTGTTTTTAATTGCAACAAAGACATTGAATCCGTCGAAATCTAAAAAACTACTCTCGAGTCAAATTCGTCTCAAGAAAATAACCCGCAAGAAACTTTGTCTTGACAAGCAAGTAGCATGAAGAGTATAGAATACAGTGAAATAGTCAACGATCATTTAGAATCAATCACAGAAGAGGAAGTTGCGAAACAATGGCACTACGTGCCATTTACACTCACACTATCATCACCACCTAGAGATAAAGAGGATAATGAACGTAACTCAGCTGGACGTAGTTCATATACTTTGCCCGAACAGAATCCCGATGGATCGAAAGCTCCCCAAACAATCGTATCAAAAAATAAATCTCGTAAAAGACCTCGTGAGGAAGACATCTCCAGCAAAAAGCTAAAAAGGAATATACTATGATAAAAAAGGCTATCAAAGAATTGTCCAAGGTCAGAGTTCCAGCATGATCCGCATGTTCCGACACCGGTCTCGCAGGTAGATATGACAAAAGCCGAATCATTATTACGCGTTTGGGGAATGTTTACTAAAGCGATACGACCACCATAAAAATATGACCAGTAATTTGATAGGGCTTGTCTCAAAGAACAATATTACTGGTTTAGTTTTTCTAAATTCCATTTCTGTAAAGTGTTGAAAGATTTTAAAATGATTCATTATATTTTTGAGTTAAGATTTCTTATACCATGCAAATCCTGTGCAGGGGAGGTGTAGAGGCAGTGCATTACGACACTTTTATTTAGTTTATTATACTACGTATATTGTAAAATTCTCATTTCTACCGTGTAAAAATTAGAGAAATTATTGTAATGTGTATATTGATATCGAAAAATACTTCAAAAATATATTTAATTAGCATCAAGTTAATTACGTACATGTGTAATAAATTGCTATGATAATACTCGATGATAAACTAAATATTTTAGTGCAAAGTAATAATACGAATATGAAAAGTCCAAATCCCGTATAAAATTGAATTCTTATTTATAAAGAAATATTTATATTTTCAAATAAATTCAACGTAAATGAAATTTATTTTTGCACCACTTGATACACTTCATAATCCGCAATGTTAAAATACTCTGTTCCGATAGATCTCAAACCATATTCATAGGAGTTTTTTATACAGTAATTATTAGAAGTATTGAAATCGGAACCAAACAGAATTAAATCACTGCCATCTCCAAAAAGTGGTCCATGATTTGCATAACACCCCACATTTCGTCCTCCTTTATATTTGCTGAGAACTCCATTGATAGCTTGAATATCATCAGAATTAAATTTATATAAAAAACTATTTAAAGCATAGTAGTCCGTGCCACTTGAATTCCATTGAAGTGGGTTATAACCACCAATAATATTTTTTTCATCTTTTACGCGAATGGCAACAACTGTTGGACCTTTATTATCACACAAACGATGAAAATCGGTATTCTTAAATCCATCACGACTACCTCGTAGTAACAGCTTCAATTCAATTGATTTGTTTTTTTTATTATCATCTTGTTCTTTAATCCAGTCAACTATTTTAAAGATCTGATTACGCGAAAGAATTGAAGAGTCGGTAGTTACGATTTTACGAACTGGGTGTAAAGTGGCCTGATGATCTTCACTTCCTGGTACCAAGTAATGATGCAATAAATCTTTATAAAGTGTTTCTGGCAAAATCTCAGCATACGGCCTAACTTTATTATAAAAATCAACCGAGCTTATATGGAAGAAACGAATCAATGGTAAACAATCTTTGAGTGTAGATTTGAGTTGTTTAAATTCGTTATGTGTCCAATTTTCCATTGGAATCGTCGGATCAATTTCGCCAGCATCTGCAGCTTGAGAGGTTCCCCATTCAAGTATCTTTTCCCAAATGTCGATTTCACCCAGATTTAAATCATCACGTTTGAGTAAGCTAATTAGAGCTAACTCATGTAACTTGGTAAAATCAGTTGATTGAAAAATAGCAGCTGGATTTTGATATGTGATATCTGTGCAAAATTTGTGAAGTTTGGTAAAGGAGTTATGCTCAAATGCAATTTGATTAATTAAAGTTAAACTCTCTGTCAAAGATTCAGAGTGATATTCGAGAAGATGGGTTTGAATATATTCAATCAGATCTTCAAGAATCAACTCGTCGGCCGCAACTAATAAATCTATAAGTGTCGAAACACCATGATTTTGTAAATCGATTTTTCCACTGTAAAGATATCTATTAAAATTTTAAACCAGGCCAATTTTCATTATTACTTTATTTATCATTATGCTTCATTTTCAATATGAAATTACCTCAGCAATATTTCAAAAATTACAGGTTCAATATTCGGTTTCTTAAAGATAATCGACTTATTTGATTCTCGTTTCACCCATGAATGAGAAAGGGCAGTCGCAAAATATTGCGACTGCGCCATTAATATTGCCGAGTGAGCTGAAAAAGTTCGTTGAACATTCTGATTTTCACCAACAATAATCGAAATGTCACAATAGCTGGAATCTTCATAGAACTTATCGAGTCTATTTAAGTGTGAAGTTAATAACAAGTCGGGTGTCATTTTTTATTTAGTTAATAACGATAACAATACGTAATTAGTTATTTTTCTGGATGTGTTGGAAAAGGCAATACATGTACAGTAAACAAGGAGTGATTGCACAAGTTTTATCGTTATTGTACATGTAGCACTACATTTGCCATTTACCAAAAATAGCGATAACGATGTTACGTGTACAGAGGGTCAATAATCTTTCATGTTCACCATATCGATATTAAATTCTACAATATCGTATCGATATAGAACACTTCTAAATACAAATGATTATTTTACAAGCTTTGAAATTTTATTTTCTAAAACTTTCATTTGTGAGATTAGCCACAATGTCAAATTTTAACACAATACAGTCAATTATCTCTATAACGAACTGATGGTTCTGTTAGTAAAAAAAGTTCGTTATAGAGAGTCGACTGTATTGTGCAAAAGCGCAAAAATCTTTGAACTTTCATTTCATTTTCATTGGCTAAATTTAATACGTATTTAGAAGTTGATGCGCATATTTAGCCAATGGAAATGAAGATGTTTTTTCATTTAATTTACCTTTGTACTGACTGTATATGTAAATTCATCTTAAAAAGAATTTTACATTTTACACAATAACGATAGCGATAGCTCATGGATTAATGCACAAAACTTATGAAAATTTACAAATATGTAAAATGGAACCTGATGAACATTTTAATTATTAGCATTTACGTACAGTCGACTCTATAACGAATCTTAAATTTTTAAATTTTATATTAGTTCGTTATAGAAAGAGTAGTGGCTCTATAGAAAACATAGTGATTTTATATAACGAACTTTTTTTTACTAACAGAACTATCAGTTTGTCATAGAGAGAGTTACTGTAGTTCATGGCTTAATGCTCAAAACTTATGAAAATTTGCAAATACGTATAACCTGATGAACATTTTTAATTATTAATATTTAATGTGTTAAAATTCGGCATTGTGGTTAATCTCACATTCAAAGTTCACGAATGAAATTTTTGAAATAATATTTCAAAAAGTTTGTAAAATAATCATTTGTATTTGAAGTGTTCCAAAATTCCACTATATTGTCGACTTTTCATAGTATCATATTTATTTATTATTTTAAATTTTTAACGACTGTCCTAATTTTAGTTGACCTCTCTGTACATTGAAAGATTTTTCAAATGTGCCAGCATTTATGTTAAATATTTATTATACAGTATGATGTATAACATCCAAAGTCATCAAATATTTATATTTTATAAAATGTACATGTATAAACTTCTCAATTAGGAAGTAAATACCAAATTTAATCTGTAAATAAGATCAAAAAGGGCCTATTCTGTCATATTCATGAATTAAATTTTGAATTTACTTCTTAATTGAGAAGTTTATACATTTTATAAAATACAAACATTTGATGACTTTAGATGTTATGCACCATAAAATTATTATTGACTATGTATTTATGAAATACTTAATACTCTGAGTTAAACATGAATTTTCTAAATCTTTTGAAGAATATTTTTATAGATTACTCAAATAATTTTAGCTTGAGTTTTGTTTACTATTGAAATAAAGTGTAAATATAGTGCCTGTCAAAAGTATGCCTGTACCTGTAATTCTGATATATCATGTATGAATTCTTGAAATTATACATGTATATGATACATTACAAATATTGATTATAACAATCTTTTTTGGATAGATTAAATAATAAAAAAATTCGTATTGCTTATAAATCAAATTTCAGTTATAAAAAAATATCTTTTTCATTGAATTATTAATATGAAATCATTTTTTTGAGCATTTATCCGAAAGATTCCAGGTTATCAATGTGTGAAATAGCAAAAATAGTTTATTGTGATGAAAAAATAGTGCATTATTGGATCAAAAAATGATGAGAAAACAAAAATCAGGCTGATAATGGATCACTATTCAAAGATAAGACAAACAAATTGTAGAGCTTGCAAAAAAATGATATAACAGTGCCAAAAATTCAATAATATTTTGATAAAAATGAAGGTTGGTATTTTAATAAACTATCAAAATCTTTAATCGAAGAAAAGTACTAAAAAAAATATCTGCAGTGTGTGAAAAAATATAAGAATTTTGATTGGGACAATGTGATATTTTTGATAAAAGTATCTTTTATTTGAATCAATAACTAAAAAAGACTTGGCAATTTCTTGGAAAAAGAAAAGTGACACATTTTGTAAAGCATCTATTAAAGCTTTATATTTGTTATCTTCAGATTTTAACAGGTTGATCTGTTTTGAATGTAATCTTAATGCAAAATTTATGATTATTATATTGTTATACGTTTTTCAGTAATAGAGTAATTAGCTAATAAACGTGAACAAGGGTTGGGAGAGATAATTTAAACAAATATAAGAGGAATGTGAAAATAATATCTAAGTCCTATGCCAATTTCTACTGAAATTGTTATAGTTCGAG